TTTCTAAAAAATTACAAATATTTCGGTTAAAAGAGTGACCTGAACTGAGATAATGCACCTAATAGTTGAGCAACTAATTCAAGAAGGAGCCCCCGAAAATCAAATAACGAGGGATATTCCACTTGGCTAACAACCCTGCATTGAGAGCATATGTGGAGTTCTGAGATAGATGCGAGCACAGTCCTAAGTAAACTAGAAGTATGTAAAACAAGTTTAAAAAAGGGGAGTGAGAGATATAGAGAAAGAGTAGTCTGGCTCTATTTAGTACATGAGGATATATTCTAATTTTTATTTCCTATATATGTACACATTTATACATTAATCGTGTTGTAGTTGACAGTAAAACCAATATTTAAAAGCAAAAGATAGAAATTTAGCGTTCACTTCAATTTTTTTTAAAAGAGACGTTGTTAGCACCCTCCAGAAAAACTGTTTTATGTTTACACTTAAGTACTAGTAATCCACATGCTCCTATACATGCTTTTAGATCTACATATATGTGCCTATTGATAACTAGATCTATTATTTTTAAAAAATAACAAAGCAATCTTAGTATAATGAATATGTTTGTCGACTCAATGTTAATATATGCTAAATAACAATTAACTCTAAAATGACAAAAATATAAAATAACAAGCAATTCTGCTTTACAGAAGACAACAAAAGGGTGGATTTTCAATTTAGACAGTGAAAAAGAAGCTAGAATAAGAGTGAAAGAAGAACAGAAAATGTGCATGAGAAAATACTGTCTAAAGAGAGCATTAGAAAAGAAATTTTTAGTATTGTTTTGAAATTTTCATGATAGTAAAATAAAAGAAGAATTAAATTTTTATTTTAAATAATAAACCGAATAGTAAGTATTCCCAAGTCCCAGGAACCCTCATTTACTACCCAAATAACAATTAAAGAATACTTTTATTTAGCCTTTAGTATTTTTGTTACTTAGCATAAGTAAAATTAGAGGTGCATGCTACAAACTAGGGAAATATAGAAGTTCTAGAAATTCCTGAATTAATCGAGAATAGCCATACCGGTCAGCATTAATTAGCCAATCAAAAACAAAGTTTTCAAGCCCAGACCAAAGTTTCTCTGCAATGACAACCGACAGTTCCATCAAGAAATAAATCATAGAATTCAAACAGAAAGTAACACTAATGTTATGAACAAACCAGTAAGACCCTCCTGCGGACAGCACTCCACAAAACGAATACACGCTGAGCAGAAAATGCACTCCACAGCCAACTGATCCATTGTAATAATATTATCAAAATTAAAACTAATTGAATAAGTCTTAATCAGTGGGATAAAACCATTACATGCATAAAAAGAGACAGAATTTTATTCTTGTCACCAGATTTCTCTTCTACCAATTCCTACAAGTAATTGCATGCTCTTAGCATCTCCAGACGCTTTTTAGATATGATAAACAATCTATGGCAATTCAGACAAGTATAAATGTATAGTTAAAATGTAATTCCTCTGTATAAAGATATAAAAGTGATCACAAGCATAGCTGTGAAAAGAAGACAAGCAAGAAACTGCAGTAATCATTACCTTTAATTCAGTGTAAATACTTTTTGCGAAAGAAGATACTTTGGTGTAATCTTATTTATTAAATGAATAAATACAAAAACTTGACATGCGTTCTCTTTCTTCAAGAAATATGATCACATGAAAGTCTAACACCCATTTAGTACTCACAGCTTTGGCGTACTTCCAGTTAAAAGTCCAAGAGGCATTTAATATTTATTTTTACTATCATGTCCTCACAGTACAACGAAAATTGCCACTATTAGAAAAGTTGACATGTGTTCTGATTATTCAATATATGTGATCATCAAATTATAACACTATTCATATTCACAGATTTGGTATACTTCTAATTGCTACATATAAGAAATATTTATCATATTCTTAGAATACTTTGAAATTTCTACTCTTAGCAAAAGTACTATCAAATTACTGTCTAAAGAAAAGAATTCATCTGGTATAAATAATGTCAACTGGCTACTATTATTCCTCAAAGGTTAGGCATGTTGATGAGACAAAATATAAAGATAAGAGTAAACAGTAGAAGATAAGCAAGCAATTGTTTGTAGCTTTTATTTCTTGCAAGGAAAAAAGAGGATTCTAAATTTTAAATAGTTTAATGCAGGCAAGTGAAATTTTTTTCCAAAAAAGAACTTGTTTATGATGTTCATTATCTCCTTATTTTACTTAAAACTAATCATAATCGCATGTGAGGTTAAACTGAAGACCTCATACTTGCATGGTTCCCAGACCAAAGACCTCCTAGCACTTCAATCATTCTCAACTTCTTACAATGCAGTATTTGATATTAAAGAAAGATATGTCTGCATGATAAGCAAAGCATTAATTTCACAGGAACTATTGGCTAAATTGTTAGTAACAATACAAACCTTTCTCTGGAAAGTTGATGCATCATTTGCGCCCTTGGGTGACTCACTGCAAAAATTAACACAAAAAGAGGAGAACATGTAGCCAACAACAATTAGCACCTCAACAATAACAATGCTATAATAAATAATTATACCATTGTCCATTCATATATCACAAGAAGCATGGAAAAAAGTGGCAATGATAACTGATATATTAAATTCATTAAGAAAAACATAAGAGATACGGTATAACAGTAATGATAATACCACCGTGGTATTTACAAAGTTTAAAATGCTTGATTCCAAGAAAGGATATGCACATTTTCATCAAGTTAACTCTGGAGTGAATACAAGTTTAATGTATGCTCGTTGTTATCTATACATGACATCTTAAACAAATAAGATGTTAGAATTCCGCACACCCATATAACTCTGGAGCAAAATAAGGACAGTCTCTGCTCCCTTTTAATTGAGTTTCAAAAAAGTAGTCACAAATTAGGTCAAACCATTAAAGGTATTTTCTCAAAGAATGGCAGAGTAAAAAACATATAGCCAGTGTTCCATGAAATAACAGCTACATGACTTTTTTCTGTGTAAAAACATTAGAGGTTACACGACTTGAACCCATGTCATTATTGTCAAATTATTGTGTAGGAATTTTAATCGACCAATCTTTTTCAGCTTGGCTCATCCGAACCCATTGCCCGTGTGCATGAGAAATGTCACAAAGGGTGCACTATGTATGCGTTGGGAAATATTTGTGTGTGAGCATAGGAAATATTAGAACTATCATACTAGTGGGTGGCAGCTTCATAAATGAAGCCCACAAAGAGACACTATGGACACATATTAGGAAGACGACACCGTAAAAGGCCAAAATTAAGTCAGCAAAGGGTAACTGCTTCTTTGAGTCTAATAAAGCTGAAATGATAGCTATCTCATGCACGCCTACAATCACATGCAGCCTCTCACCAATCCCGACACACATATGGACACAAAGTAAGAATATGATGAACAGAATGCATTGAAAAAAATTCTTTAATTGAGAATTATTAGGGGAAAAAGCAGAAAAATTATCCACCTTTCTCTCCATTTGAGAAGAGCTTCCAGAAGGGGAACAGGTGTATGTCTGGCAATCATAGCTAAGGAATCCAATACTTGTTCATAAGCAGGATCTGATGGTCGAAGGTATAGTCCATCCTGCAACATGTCAAAACAAGAAGAATGGGGAAACAAAAGATGAGAACGTTTTGAAATCACATTGGCAACTGAAACATTTACTTTTTTGTTTTTTGAGACAAAAAACATTCACCTTTTTAATGAAAACACAATATATTGGCAGTGGATAATAATCTACCAAAAAATATATAGCCCTTGAGAAGTTGACACAAAATGCACTTGCTAAATGAATCTTTTCATTTTTTATATTACCGACTGGATCATATGATAACATCAATACTTCACCAATTACTTTATTTGTTTTTCAAACAAAAAGAGAGAAATGTAGGAGGAAAGAGGAGCATAATTTATCCTCCTGCAAAATCGGCAAGATACAAAGAGACAAGCAAGACTATTTAGTATAAGCAAGTAATCATTCCCTTGCAATGTTGATAAAGAAATCCCCCAAAAAATCAATGTCCAGAGCCTCAATCCATTAACCAATCTCAAATATTGTAAAGCAGCAAAGACCTTTCCAGCATTGCCAGGAAATCCAGCACGTTTAAGAGGGAAATCTACAAAGAGTGCCCTGCTGACATTCGTGATACAAGTGATCTTTCCTTTTCCTTTTCTTTTCTTGAGAATAAAAAGTGATCTAACCGACAAAAACAAATCCATTTTTTTTATTTTAAAAAATGCAGGAGAGGAAGGACTCTGCTCGGTGAGGGAGGACTCTACTCGGTCCTTTTCTTTCTAAAGGAATATATATTGTCAGAGAGAGGAGAGAAAAAATTACAAGCAAGACATTCTGCTAAAAAGAAAATAAAGTATATCAAAATAATAAAATATTTCAACCTCTTTGCGAGATAGCCAAAAGACATCCCTAAAATAACCATGAGCATTAGCCCACAAAGCAGCAAAGAAATATGACTACCACTAAGCTAAACCTGGTTAAACGAATCAGAAATTTAATCATCCATGGTAGTTAAAACTATTTCAATCAATTTGATGTATTCTTCCTAACCCACAAGCAACTATACTCCATGTTCCAGAGAAAATCTAGCTGTGATGCATCTCGCTTGGATGTAATGAAAAGCTGTTATGAACAGCTTATTGTCCAACCAAAACAGAAAGATACAAGAAACAAAGAAAAAAAATATTAAGATGGGGCATGGACCCAATCCCTTCATAAAGCACATTATGGCATTCCCAAAGGAACAATGGTTATTTGCTTCTGTCCTGAATCATGTGAAGCAGTTCAAACTGTTGCTTAAGACTCTAATACTCGGTTCCAAGCAGATGACCCATAAAACTGGCAAAGAGAGTTCTCCTTTACAGCATTTTATGCTCCTTGGACTGTCTCACTACGGAGTGCAGCAAGGATGCAGCCTACCAAAGGCAATTCATGGAAAAGGATTGTGCCTACCAGTTTATGGCGGGACTCAACCTAGAATTTAATCAAGATAAAGTCCAAATCACGGAAAATAAAAAATTATCATTGCTGAATGAGGTAATTTCTATTATTACTACAGAAGAAAGCAGGAGAAAGGTCATCCTAGAATCCCACTCCAATAAAAGTTTGATCTGCTTTCCAAAAACCCTAAACCATTTTTTTTAGATAAAAGAGTAAGAGTATATATTGAATGCAGGCACCAAGAGGGTGCCGCCCATGTACAGAAAATTTACAAGTCAATAAGCATATCTACAATAAAACCAAAGTCATCAAGGTTACAAAGGTTACGTTCAAGAATAATGGACCCAAAAAAGTGAAACCATTTGTCCTTGATGTTACCAAAACTATCCTCTTTACCCTCAAAATCTCTATTGTTTTTTTCTTTCCAGATGATCCAAAAGATAGTAAGAGAAATTAGTTAAAATTTCTTGTTTCCTTTGCATCAAAACTCTCAAGCTTTTAATTCTTCTTTTATAGATCTAACAATAGTGCATTTAATACCAAGTAACCTGTGAACCGTGGTCCATAGCTTGTGAGTGAAGGGGCAATGGAGTAGGAGGTGGTTACAGGACTCAACATTTTCTTTGCAAAGAATCTATTGGTTAAAATTATACCAAAAGCCCTAAACCATGCCAGCATGTAAAAGGGTCAAGTTCTATTTCTTCTGACCTACGGTTCTTCCAAGTATATTCCAGATGGAAAAACCTAAAACCCAATCCAAAGAAACTTCAAGAATCTGAGTCGAGTGTTGAAAATGAGGTAAGCTTTGAAAACTCTACTTCTTCTGATATTGACATACCTATTGCACTTAGAGAGGGACAATGGAATGCACTAAGCATCTCCTTTATCCTATCTTGAATTTTGTATCCCTTGAAAAATGTTCTTAATCTCACAAAAAATTTCTTATAACACTGAATAAAGTATCTATTCCTAAAATATGATCTGAGACTTTTTAACCAGTGAGAAACGAAAAAATGCAATGAATGTTGAGATGCATGCACTTGAAAAGAATTAGACATGAGAAGCAATAGACTTGCCCAAAGGGAAAAGACCGATAAGTTGCAAATTGGTATCCACTGAAAAATACAAAATGGAACAATTGAAAGATTAAAAGGGAGATGGTGGCTAAAGGGTATACCCAAACCAGTGGAATTGACTACTAAGAAACTTTTACACCTGTTGCAAAGATGAATATGGTATGTATCCTATTGTTCTTATCTACTAACTTCAATTGGCAATTGCAATAATTTGATTTTGAGGATGACATCTTGCATGAGAAATTGGAAAAAATAAATAAATGGAGATCTGTCTCGGTTTTACTGAAGGATTAGAAACAAACAGAGTCTGCAAACTGAAAAAAAAAAGCATTTTAGACTTAAACAATCCGCTCAGGCATGGTTTGGAAGATTTTCAAAGGTAATGCTATCCATTGGATATCAGGAAAGTCACTAGATCACACATGTTCATTAAACACAGAGTTAGCAGGAACCAAAGCCCTGCTGGTTTACATGGAATGTTGAAGTTGAAAAGGAAGTTCTTAAGCAATATCTGGCTAGAGAGTTCGAAATTAAAGAATTTAAAATGCTAAAACATTTTCTCAGAATAGAAGTGGCCTACTTAAAGTCTAGAATTTTCATTTTCTAGCAAAAATATGTCACAAATCTTTTAAAGAAAACTGGCAAACTAGCAAGCAAGTCTAATAGCACACCCATTGATCCAAATCATAAACTAAAACTGCCAGAAGAAGACCCAGATGTTGATAGAAAAATATACCAGAGACTAGTGGGGAAATTGGTTGGTTTAGAAGAAAAATAAATTAGATGACCTTACAGGAGTCACTTTCATTTGTAGAAGCTATATGTTTAAACATTTTTTATTTCTGATGAATGGAAATCTAAAACCGAATCAACAGAATCTCTTGAATTCATATAGTTTCTTTTCTTTTGCGAGAAAAAAAAAAAAGAATATAGGTTGAATTCGTTATGAATCTTTGAATCCATTGTTTTTAATCTTATATCTAATTGTTTTCATTGATGGCAGTCTTGTGTTTCTTCTGATTTCCTTATCAAAGTAAAATTCTTTCTATGATTATGAAAATATATAACTCACACTTCAAAATGGAAAACAAAAGCATTTAGATGTTTATGGATATTATCAAATCTTTTCTCCTATGGTACACAGTTGTTCATATCGTCCTCTGTTTAAGGCCTTTACATTTTGGTCTCTAACTGATGGATACAGCAGGAAGACTGTCACACGGAAAGCAATATTTAGTATGAAAAATCTTGTAAAATGGATCCCTAGAACAGGAAGAAGAATGCTCCCCTAGATTTGCCTTTTCTGCTAGCAAGTCACCCATGGGGAAACCTCACTATTAATAATCCTTATTAAAAGAGGTGAGATACCATAATTGGTGCTACTTTTGCAAAGGGAAGCTATATCCAGGACCATCTTTCATTAAGATGCCCATTTTAAGTTTGTGCTGTATAAATTTCGAATTAAGATGCCCATTTTAAGTTTTCCTTACATTGCAATTGATAATGACTGACTCAATCATGGTGAGCTGTGGCCGTGGTAAGGTATCTAGGAAGATAAGGGCAAGAAAAAGATTCTCTCTCTTATCCCTTAGGGTTATTGGAAGTAGAGAAACAGGAGAACTTTTGAGAATCCTTACCCTTTGTTTTTCATCTAAGGATTGTGCACCCAACTCAGATAGGGAATGTTTTACATATTTTGAGAAATTTCTGTTTCTTCATATATGGGTTGCACCTCCTTGGTGCTCCTTAATACACTTTTTTTTTCTCTCATAAAGATGGAAGATGCATCAAAGTACAGAAAAGCACTCCTATTGGAAGAAAGTAATGGCAATCAAAAACCGTTAAAATTACTAAATTAGCAATCCAAAATAGTGCTCCTCAAATGCAGCAGACTGATATAGGTCATCTGTAGTTAATTAAGCAGTTAAAGACATAGTGCCATAACTCTCCACATTCTGCTGCACTTTGAAATAGAAGCATGACCGTTACTACAACATTCAAAATCTTATAAACGTAAATACTTCTAACAAAAGTTAACACCCACCAATGCAAAGCCATCAATTTGATTCCATAAGCTCGAAACACTAGATATTTGTACCTTAAGCGAGAGCCTATCTTTCTAAAGCAATACAATATACATAGGCAAACAACCCAAATTAAACAGAAGTATACTTAGATGTGTATAAATATATATATGTATATATGTCTATATATATTGAACGGAAATCTACAAGAAGAAGAATAATTAAGCCACAGCGAACAGACCTGGGCTTGAGCCGTTTCAATGCGACGTCTAGCAAGAGGGAGGAACCGCTGCAGCAATGCCTCCACAATCAATTTCGCCGCGCTTCCTGCCTTCATCTTCTTACAGTTGCAGTGAAGTTCACTTCGATTTAACTCCTTATTTAATCAAGAAGAAAATATGAAAGCTCCAAAACCGGAAGCCAAATTACCAAAAACTTAGGGCTCCGTATAAGAAAATTACTAGTAGAAAGTGAGTGAAGATTAGGCTCCTCCTCAGAGGGAGACAGGTTAGATTCAATTAAAATGCGAATTAAAATAGGGAGAGAGGGAGAGATTAGGAGAAATACCTGAAATTAGGAAGCCATTGATATGTCCAAGGGAGGGTTTTAGGAGGATCTAGCAAAAACACCTTATGATTAGCTGTTGCCTTCTGATCGATGAATCTTCTTGTCGAACGTTAATGTAAACGGTAATAAGTGATGCCTCAGTTTTTTAATAATTAAAGAACAAGACCATGCCTCGTGTAAAAACAAATTGGTAAATGACACCAAAACGATGCGTTTTAAGGCTAAAACGAGTTGTTCGCCAGAAATAAAACGGCATCGTGTTGCGAATATCTATTGTTAACAAAATTCCCTGCAAACGCTAATAACTGCTGCGATTAATAAGAACTGTAGGCAATATTAAAAATGGCGGAGAAGGAACCAGAGGCGCGAGACGACCTCGCCGAATCGCTCAACAATCTCTTCACCAGCGTCTCCACCATGGTCAAATCGGAACTCGAGGTCTCTTTCCTTTAAAGCACGAAGCCCCAAACTTTTCCAAATCCTCTTCAAATCAACAACTGACGAATTTTTTATTTTCGATAGGGCACAAATAATCAGCTGGAGCTGCTAGAGAAGATGAACTTGAGAGTGGCGGAGGAATACGAGGGGTTCGGCGACGTGGCCGCCGGACTGAGACTGTTCGTCGAGCAGTTGAAGTCAAAGAGCGGCAATTTCGATGCCTACGTGCAACAGATCGATGCCATTGAGCAGCAAGTCACAGAGTTTGAAGCAGTCACCTCTGTCCTAGATCGACACGTTTCTTTGTTGGAATCGAAAGTCCAATCTGCCTACAGTCACCACCTTCCTCCGCCGCATCATCCACCTGTATAATCAAAACACAAAACTCCTCAGATTGTGTTTACATTTTCTTCCTTTTAACGTTTCAATTAATTGATGATTTCTTATTTGCTTTTTCCTTTTTCTGTTACTGTATTAATGTTGCGGGAATCATTATCTGGTGGATTTTATTGTAATTCGCTGCCTCTTTCAGATTTTTCTCCTTTTCCAAATAAACTTTTTTGATGAATGAAGAAATGTGCAGATTTTTTAGGAACAAGTGTTCTTAAGAGGGAGTTTGGGATTCGATTATTTTGCCGGGAGCTATTTTGAGTTTATTTTCATTTGTATAGAAGTTTATATAATTTGTTTAGTAATAAATTGTTGAAATGTATGTTTTTTTGAAGATTTTATTTTTATATTAATTAAAATAAAATTCAAATTAGATATTTGTTTGATGTTATATATGGGTTACAATTTTAAAAATTATATATGGATTACAATTGAAAAATACATATCTTAATCTATACATGAAAGAAAAAAATAATAACAAAACTAAAAGTAAATTCAAGGTACTATAACAAATTCCAACATTTTAACATGCTAACTAGTTTTGAATTCAAAATACAATCACAAGTTCTAATTGTTAAATATCATTTCCATCATGGTTAATCCAAATGGACTTCAATGCAATTCCTCTATAAAAAATGACTAAATTTAAAAAAAAAAAAATTGATTATATTCAAAATTATTAAAGTATAATTTATAATTTAGTTGATTGATTAATACAATTTTATTTTTCTTGAAATGCATTATCAAAATAAACTATCTCATCATAAATAAATAAGTTTTAAATGATTGTCATGTATTTTAATATTATTGATTCTTATATTACTCTATCAATTAATATACTATTCATATTTAATTATAAAATAATTATAACATTACTGTATAATTTTTGTATTTTATAAACTCTTTTTATATTGAAGTTTGAGTGCCGAAAGACAACATTGACATCTCAAACTATAGTTTAATGAAAAATCATATACTTTGTATCATTTTAACTTTGATAGTATTTTAAAATCTTTTTATCTTATTTATTAATATTATATGTTTTATTAATATTATAAGTATTTAAAATTTAACGAGACATCTCAATTATATTTTGATGTTTATACTTAATTATTAATAATAATAAAAAATAAGTAATCTATTATGTGGCTATATATTTAAAAAAATTTAAATATTATTAAAATAGAAGGTTGATATAAATTAAATTTAATATTTATTATTATTATTGACTTAGAAAAACGCACATGTGCCAATATAAACTTTGGTGCAAGAGTCTTATATATATGTATATTTAAAATTTATGTATATATGAATTATTTTGAGTAATTTAACCATTAATAAAATATGACACAAGTCATATGGTATAAAATAAGATGTTTTTAAATATCGGGGAGCAGGCAACAAACGAAGGGTGGTCACAGTCCAAGCTACTTAAAGGGGCAGGTAGTCTGCCCATGAACCGACCCGGTCGACTCACGCAACAAACCGTGTCTTCCCCAGTTCCCGAAGTCTGTGCATTGCCTCTCTTTCTCTCTCTCTCTCTCCGTGTGCAGCCATGACCGTCACAACCATGGGCCCTCCGCCTCCCAGAAACCCCAACCCTGACGGTGAATCTTCCATCGACGCTCAACCTAAAGCCTCACATGATGAATCCACTACCTCCACAACGGTGGCCATGGGCCCACCTCCACTTTCACCTCCGAGAAACCCTAAATATTCCCATTTAGACGAACCACAGGAAGCAGAGCAACAACAGCCAAAGAAAGATTCAGTAGAGGATTCTGCTACAGCAACCGAGAGCTCGAGAGGCGCGCAGGCTGTGAAGCAGGGTACTGTTCCATACTCAATTCCCGATTGGAGTGGCCCCCCTTGCCACCATTTTTATATTGAAGTACTCAAGGATGGCTCTATTATTAGCCAACTCAATGTGTAAGCCTCATTTCTCTCTCTATAATTTAATTCAATATTACTACGAATTTCTCGGTGTTAAAGGAGTGTTTCGTTGCTAGATTATGTTTTGTAGTTTGGAAAACAAATTTTCTGAATAAGTAGGTGATGTATATCAAGTACATGATCGGACTGCAAGTAGCATAGGGATTCTAATTGTTAGATTTAGGCATATGTGTTCCTTCCCCTATCGCCCGAGATATCTTGTCATGCCCACAACTCATCCTCCACTTAACCCACCCTGACTCATGCACTTTTAGAAGAATCTAAATAACATCCTGCTAAATATGAAACGCAGCTTCTTGGCAAATAATGATCTGGAGTCTGCATCGTCTTTGTGCATAGGAAACATCAACTTACCGTGATCTTTACCATGTTAGATAGGATTTTCACATTCTCTAAGTACTAAATGTCGGATTTTCATGTAAAATTCCAACAAAAATCATTGATTTGTTTGAAACATAGCCTTACTAAATTTCCTTCTTTGAAATCTCTCTTTGATCTTCTCCTTCGTTCTGGACCATTTATTTTCTTTAGCCACTCTGTTTTCTCTCTTTTCTTATCACATCTTCTGTTTCTTCCTTTCTCATGAAAATATCGCATCAATTGAATATCCAATTCTGCCTAGTGGTTGTTAACACTTGAAGAGGCTTGTGGTACTTCTTTTCTTCTCAAAGAAGGAAATTCATTAAAGATGTATTCTTCAATCTCTATAGAATACAAGCTAATTGAACCTTGTATAGATCCTATACAGATGCTTAATTCTAACAATATGCCCCCCTTCTTACAGTGCTTGCAAAAAATGCTATATCCTATATCTGATATAGATATATAGGTCTAAAAAATATATTTTTCTTCTGGTTAGGTATCTTAATCTTTTAGGCGGTTGGTTTTATTTTGTGTTAATGGCGGTTTTGCAGGTTTGAGAAAGGAGCTTATATGTTTGGACGTGCTGATATTTGTGATTTTGTTCTTGAGCACCCCACCATCTCTAGGTTTCATGCGGGTAAATCTTATCGCTTTCTTACAAGTAGTGTTTTGATGCCAGGAAGTAGGTTAGAAATGAATGAATGCTTCCAATGTGACCCAATTCCTCATTATTATGGTCTATGGAACTTTATGTTTACAAAAAGTTTAATGTTAAAGAATAAAGAAATCGTTCATTTGTGGGGATCCAAACTTGTATTCTTGATATTGTGTTAGGTTTTTAATGAGATCATTGACATTAATGAAGCTATTGCGGTTGATTATCTCTTCCTTTCTGTTGCTAGTTCTTCAGTTCAACAATAGTGGAGATGCCTACCTTTATGATCTTGGCAGTACACATGGTACTTTTGTGAACAAAAATAAGGTATTATTTTGCAACTGAATTGCATTTAGGTTCATGTTACTACAATTGTATGCTTTTAAAGGTCTAGTGTCAACCAACTTTATGATGTCTTAGAAAATTGCTGTCTTAATTGATTGCAATTTAATCAGGTGAAGGCAAAGGTTTATGTGGACTTGCATGTTGGTGACGTCATTCGGTTTGGCTGGTGAGTTAATTGACTCAAGTTCAAATGTGATTCTTTTGCTATAGTCAAGTACATTTTTTCTGCCTACCTTTTTACATTTTTATTTTTTTCTATTAGTGTATTATTTATTTATCTATCTTGTTTCATGTTGCCTTCCTTTGTATATCTTATGAGGAAAAGAATTTATTGTCTTGAGAAAGTCAACTACAACAAAGAAAAAGTTAACAAACTATGCAAAATTCTATTGTAACCAACAATATCACTATTTATCCAAATGAATAGATTATGTAATTCAAACTACCTTTATATATTCCACAATCTGTTCTATAATGAATCCCCTCTATCTCTCGTATTTTCTTGAGCCCCTTAGAAGCATGATATCCCAACCAAGCCCTAATTTTCGTACCATCGAAACCAGTTACTAAGTTACAACTTAAGAAAAATCTCCAGAAGATGTTAAAACGGAAAATCAGGAGAAAGTAATTTACGGGCCTCATCCTTTTCCTTTCAGAGGAAGGATCAATTCACTAGGTGTTTACGAAAAATTTATTCTTTTTCTCTAGGTGTTTACGGTTATTCGTCTCCCCAAACTGTTATGGCCCCAGATGTGGGAGTTGGAAGGTGTTTTTAGATTGCTTATTAGTTTTTTTTTTAAAGAAAACTATAAGATAAAATATCCAATTCTAGCATCTTCAAGCTCTTTGCTCTAACTTTTGAATTTGGTAACATAAAATACTTGGTCAAATGACTTTATGAAGGTAGGAAAGAAGTAAACTATTTCTAACTTCTACATCATCTTGATATCCTCTTAAAATTAATATATACAATAAATTATAAAATATTTATATTTTTGTTAACTTTTATTAAAAAAACCACTTGCTTTTTGCAAACAGCACTTCATCCAAATTTTTTTATTTTCAAATAGGAACTTTCTAATTTAAATAATTTAAATCACTTTACTACTTTAAGCATCTTTTAGTAATCTTAAATACTCTGTTAGTCATAAGTATCATGACTGCAAATTCTTATGGCAATAGAAGCTTTTTTGTCTAATTTTCGGCCTTGACAAACTATGTTTAGAGCTTCAATGGTGAGAATCCTTCACTATCTTATTTTGAGTTTAGTTCAAATTGTAATTTCAGAAAGTGGGAATGACAATACAATATAAACATAATAAAATGTGGAATGTCTCGGAGTCAATTTTGTATCCAACTCAAGTTAGGTGTTTCTGTGATTCTGTCTTTGACAGGTGGGGATTAAAAAGACCATGGTTGTAGATCTAAAATATGAGTGAGCTTGATTTAGTCATGCATCAATCAGATAAATTTATGAATAACTTAAAATATATCAAATAACTAAGATGAAGTAATTGAATGGTAATAGAATAGGTTTGGGCCAAACGAAATATTATAGTTGGGTACTCTGGAACCTTTTCTATTTTTAAAATCTTCACTGCTTTTTTAGTAATGTAATAGCTTTGATATATGGGAAAAACCATCTTCAATCAGTTGGATCTGACCATCTTTTGTTAAACCTAAACTTCCAGTTTTATTATGTTCCTAAATAACTTGAATTCCATATTCCAAAAATAACTTAAATTTCCTATACTGCTTTATTCTTAAATAGTTACCAAAGTCTAAAACAGAAAGCAAAACACAAGCAGATGAGAGAAGTTATTTCTTCTTTCTCCTTTGGGAACCCCCTACTAGCTTTCCCAGTAAACAAATTTGGGACGGCTTCTTCTTCCTTCTTTTGATATTTGGGGCATAACATTACTTCTCGGCAAGCACCAAAAGATGGTGGTAATCGATTATGCCATATCAAGGCTCTTCTGCTCAGTGTCATTTCTTCTGCAACATAGGGTTCATCACAATTGTTATATAAACATCTTAAGCACCTCTCTCCTATCTCCACTCTACTTAATTTTTTAACCAACGATGGCCTTGAAGAACTGCTTGTAACGTTCCTTTGAAGAGAGCGAAAGCTGTTCCTTGCCAATCATACCACCTAGGAAGATTCATGGCTGTTATAAGATTGGTGGAGCTCCTGTAAATTGACTTCTAGAATGATGTATTCTTGTAATCTGTTGAGAAAATTTATATTTACTGTTGTGAGGTAAGGAAGGAAGTATGCTTGCTTAATTATTCAAGTGCTTCCGCCTCCGCCATACCTGTCTGACATATATTGACCAGTTATCTGAGTTTTTTGCTGCGTCAAAAGTACGAATCGTTAGGATTCAAAATTGTCCCATGATATATCAGGTCTTTCACATTACAATTTAAGTAATACAAGTGCATTTCCCTTCAAGTGAAAGATAGGAAGCCCTATCTTGTTCTTTTCGGTTGTTTATTGATGGTGAAAAAAATATTGACACTGGTTCAGCCATCCAGGCTGGGTAACATTACCATCAAAGTGGGGAATCCAGCTTAGAGAATTGACATACTTTCCCTCCCCCTCTTCCTATTTTGCACTATTGCTGGAGTCAATATGCTGCCTGCCTCCATGGTGATTGCTTCTAGCATCTGAAATGCTGGTCCCTCATGCCTTGTCTGCTGAGAATGTCCTAGAGAAGCTCTTGATTTGCGGTACGAGTTTGCACTGTCTCTCTTCCAAGTAAATGCAAAGTTTGAGAAAAAGCCTCAATTGTTGCTGCAAGGCCCCAATTTATTCCATGATGTCTGGCTTTGATACTAATATGTTATGGTCCTGGTTTTGGGATCTGTTGACGGGTTTGCTAACTGCGAATACTCCAACAAGCGTGAAGCTTTGCTTGTTTGTTTTCCAGCCCCAACAATTTATGTTAGGACTTATTGGAGGGAACTCTTTAATCTCAATAATTTGGAGGGAAATCTTCAATCTTTTAGACTTAGGGATTCGTAAACCTTTTTTCCCTAATAAATTCTGCACTCTTTTTTATCATATGAAGTAGCTTACATAAATATAGGGAAGAACTTAGTTACTGGTATGAAATTAGTACGATCTAATTAACCTGTATATAACTTAGATTTCCTATTTCTTTCTATTTCTTAAAGCTCCAATTTCCTATATTGCTTTATTTATAAATAACTCCTAAAGGCTAAAATAGAAACAAAAACTCAGGCAGAAGAGAAGAGTGATTTCTTTCTCCTGTGCCCAGGTTACTAGCCTATCCCAGCAAACCAATCTGCAGCTTCTTTCATTTCCTTATTCTTTGGATATTTGGGGCATGACACAAACTTCTTCCAAATGAAGAAAGACCACTTTGGATTGCTTCTCTATCCCAAATGGTCCTCCCAGGAAAATTTGGATATTCCTCTCTAGGATCTCTTTTAGAATTTTAAGCATAAAAATTGCCATTTGCATTGACCCTTGGAAAAAAAAACATCTTCAACACTGATTTGGTCATTTGCTTGTTATTCTTCATGTATCGTTTAGTGTCAGTTCTGTAAAAGAACCATGCAATTTGGTGGAGGTCAAGCTTTAAGAAGTTTCTCAATTGATAAGTGATGGTTTGACTGATGTGTAACATAAATCCGATAGGATTATGGAGGATACTTTTGATTTTTTTATTCAAGAATAGTATATTTTCAATTCTTTTGTTGGATAGTAATCATAATAATCAAGGGTGTTGGTGTCAAAATATTCATGCCTTGGCCATGAAGTTTCAAGTTCAGCAGCTGAGCTTTTTTCTTAACAACAGAATCTGGGTTATGGTTGCTAGTCGAAACTATCACAATAAACTGCATGCTAATGTTTGTTACTGTACTAAATATTAATCCTTAAAATTTTTTTTTTCTTTGGTGAAAAATATCCCAGTCATTTTCTTTTCTGTTTAGTTGGAGGAAAATATGTGTTCTAACTATTCTCCAATTTCTCTTTTGTAGTTCAACTCGGTTGTTCATTTTTCAAGGACCACCTGAGTTGATGCCTGCAGTAAGAATTCTGCACCTATTTCAATTTGTTGTTTGTCTGTTCATTTCAACGATTGTTTTTTTTTTTTTTTCTGCTCCTTATATCTGTTAGCTGTTCAGTGGAACTGAGAAACTTTTTTGTTAGTGCTGTCTTTTGCAATGAGATCTCTTTACAATAATCCCCCCAACCCCTCCTTTCTTTTGCTTTAGATTTTGAACCATCTTAAAATGATAGAGGATCAATAATTTTAGAAGTCATGGCATTTGAGCTTACCTTGGATGGTATGTGACCATATTGAAGCCTCAAAGAAATTAGTTGTTGTCTAGTCTTGATTTGATCACCTGGATTTCCGTTTATCAGTTATGTGTGAAGGAGGTGATGATGCGTAGTCTTTTCTCTCCTTATAGAAGAGGGACATGTGCTTAATGTGATCAACATGATCTAATAGCATTGAGGTAGTTTTACATATATAATCTTTTGCACATGATTGGTGGCCCCTTGCGCCAACACATCAATATAATTCTTTTACTTTTATCTCAAAAAATAAAAATAAAAAAGGTTTGCTAATGCAATTTATTTCTTTTTTTTTTGTTGCTACAATTCTAATAATCGTCTTATTTGTTATTTATTGTTGTTATTTTTTACTGTAGGAGGCAGACTTGAAAATTATTAGAGATGCCAAGAACAGAGAAGAGCTGTTTGATCGAGAAGCTTCACTTCGACGAGCAAGAGTCGAAGCATCTCTAGCGGATGGTATTTCATGGGGGATGGGAGAGGATGCTGTTGAAGAAGCTGAGGTTTGTCTAATCACAATTTTCTTTTAGTTTTGATAGATGCCGTTGTGTCTTTTATTTTATGATTCAATGTCCTTTTTCCTTAAAAAGTGTTTGGATGTGCAAGGCTTCATATGCCATTTTATTGCCCTGGTTTCCATTAAAGGTAAATTGTATAAAAATGCCATATACTTTTATAGATATCTCAGATTAAAACCTAGGCTTTCAATTACTCCTTTTTAGGAGTTACATTTTTGAGACATATCAAATTAACATCTGCTGTCACTTTTCTGATAAAATATGCTGGAACTCAATTTTGACAGGTTTTGTACAGTTAGCTAGTGATTTATCAGTTTAATTGCTTGTTCTTGAGCATATTGATTTAAGTAACACAGTATTAAATGTATGACTCAATTTTCAATTTATTTTATCAGAAAAGTGATTGACGAATGCTAATTTAAGACATTTGAAACATATATTTATCCTAAAAAATTTTAATTAAAAAGTGAAGATCTTAGTTTGAGAGACTGATAAAAGTACATATAATTTTACGTAATTAGTCTTTTATTTCTTTTCCTTATAATTTGATGATTGCATGATTTTTTTTAGTTTCCTTGGTAGTACCACCTTAATAAATGATTTGTAGGGTTTGTTCATATGTGCATTAACAATTTAATGAATACAACTTTTCCCTGTTTTCATAAAATTGCAACTCTTGAAATTAAAGCAATTTTCATTTACTGCCTTTTATATTTATAGTTTTCTTTCCCTCTAGAATTTAGACATACTTTTTGAAGATAATTTTGACATTATTTTGGATACTTAGGATGACAGAGATGAAGTTACTTGGCAAAAATACAAAGGACAGCTTACGGAGAAGCAGGAAAAAACCCGTGATAAAATAATTAAAAGGACTGAAAAGGCAAGTAATTTTTATATTTAATAGTGTCTAATTTTATCTTAACACTTGTTTCTCTTTTCTCTTGTGCATTAGATTACTTTTAGTTTTTATATACTCGCTCATACATATCATTAACAATTCATTTTTGTATTTCACAAAAAAAAATGCATTGTTTTCTAAACTTCAAAAATGCATTTATTTACTTTTCAGTTCAGAGTTCCTGGCTATGCAATTTTGGTTGCTTGTCATTTTTTGTCCACCTCTTTCTTCTAAGGAGAAGGAAAAGAAATTAAATGGCAATCCTTAAGAGACATTTGCAGACAATGTCCCATGAACACAAAGAAAGATATACACATAAACACCTTGTTTAGTTCAAAGGCTCCATCAGTAATCAAGGGAACAGCTAGGTCCTCATGGATGATGATGCTCATGCTATTATTTATCTGATTCAATGTGATCAAGATTTTTTTTTGTTCACTGGGTTGCTTTCAGACATGATACAGTAGCCATTGAAGTTTCATTGGACAATGGTGCTGTGTTAAATACTGATAACAAGTACTTAAATGCTTTCAACCAACAGCCTCTACCCGGGTTTGGTTACGTCTTGTTCTCCATAGTTGGTCTACAGTTGTATTCCTGTCTTGATCAGATTCTAAAAATTTACTTAAGCAAAAAAAGAAAAAGTTCTTAAACACTTTCTAGCTTGTAGACAGTTTCGACTTTTCTGCCAATTCTGGCAATCATTTACTTATTATCATATGTTTTTTAGGCTAAAGTGAACAACATAAAATTCTTTTTTTCTTTTCATGTTATAAAACATTTTCTGCATTCCTTTCGACAGGGAGAACTAAAATCCAAGTGGTAAAACTTTTAAGTTTTTCAAAAAGGTTTTTTAAAGACTTTTTAGTTCTTTAGTTGGGCATGTTTTTGCAAATTTTTTCATAATTAAATTAAGTTTTGAAAATTTCCTACCTGCGATCTGTATTAATTATAAAAGTGTTCTTCTTGATGCAGATTGCTCACATGAAGAGGGAAATAGACGCTATTCGTGCTAAAGACATTGCTCAAGGTGGATTGACACAAGGACAACAAACACAGATTGCTCGGAATGAACAAAGAATAAACCAGGTAAGTTATTGTAAAAAAGCCAGTTTTCACGTGTATAGGAGTCTAATCTGAATGTTTTCTTCATAATACACGTTATTTTCCTTTCCTTGCTGGCAAATGGTTCTTTTTTAATGGGTGTTTTCGAACAATTTTATAGCTCATGGAAGAGCTTGAAAACTTGGAGGAAACATTAAATGATAGCATCCGAGAAAGTATTGGAGCACGTTCTGGAAAGATGTCTCGTTGGAATAGAAAAGTAACGGCAGAAGATGATGATGAATTTTTGAGGTAAAGTTTGCTAATCTCTATGTGGAGTTTGTGCTGAAAACAGCCATTTCTGAAGATTCACCAGATGGCTAAACATGCGTTCAATGTTCTAGTTGCATATCCTTGCTAAGATGATTGAAACATGTAAAACCTCCAGCTGATGATTCTATTTTTAAATCTATGTAGTCTACTATATGTGCTCTAGGCAATACATCCTTAAAAAAATGATAATCATGAAAACCAGGTTAATTTCTCCCTAGAGTTGCTTTTTTTGCATGGGAAGCAAGTAGAGAATGCATCTTGACAATTGATAAACTTAAAGCTAGGAGGTTGGTCATTTCCAACCGGTGCTATTTGTGTGTGGCTAATGAGGAAAACTGTGTGCATGTTCTGCTGCGGTGTCCTGTGGCTTCTGGGTTGTGGAATGCTATTTTTAGTATGATTGGTGTTAGCTGGGTGATGGCTGGATCTATTAGGGAGGAATTGTGGGCTTGGGAAGGGATTCATTTAGAAAGAAAGTTGAAAAATCTAATTCCTTTATGCTTGTTTCGGATTCTATGGAAGGAGAGAAATTCTAGAGTTTTTGAGGGTAAAACTAATGATTTGTATAATTTGAGAGATAGGTGGTTGCATTATTTTGGGTTTTTATTATTAGAGCATGACATGATTAGTGATGTGGATTTTGGGCATGTCATTAATTCACTAACTACATTGTAAAGCTTTTGTATAGGGGCGGTAACTCCGATTGTTTGATACCATGTTAATAGATTTTCACACTTTTTATTTATAAAAAAAAAATGAAAACCAGGTTAATGGATAATGTGCCCTTAATTCTGGTTGTCCAGTGATGATGATGAATTCTATGACCGGACAAAGAAGAAGCATTCTATTAAAAAAAGCAGTGAAAGTCAATCAATAGAAACTGCTGATACCCTTCTCGATAAGAGAGATACCATCATGAAAGAAATGGAAGAAAAGAAAGACATGCTTTCAACTGAGAAGAACAAAATATCATCAGAATCTGCTGCCAAAACTGAAGCTGGAGATACACTTGATGCTTACATGTCTGGGCTTTCATCTCAGTTAGGTGGGAAATTCTCTTTTGAATTGCTGTAATTTCAATTTTTTCCTCCTTTCTGATTTATGATTAAATGCTTTTTAAACAAGTTTCTCAGCGCTCATTGCTGATTTTTGATATGTCATATCAGTGCTTGATAGGACTGTTCAACTTCAGAACGGACTGTCTTCACTTCAGTCTGAGCTAGATAGAATCCTGTACCTGTTGAAGATTGCTGATCCAACTGGGGAAGCTGCTAAGAAAAGGGATTCACACCTGCAAGAGCCTAAGCCTAGCAAAGCAAAAACACCATCTACTGCCATGAAAAAGCCACCTCCCAAAGAACCAAAGAGGAGCTGTGGATCTGGAGAGCTAGTTAACATCTCCATGCACCAAGAGGGAACTGCTGATTTGTCCCTGGAGTCAAGCAAGAAGCCTGAAACTGAAGAGAGAGCCAGTGATTCAGCTGAGAAGAAAACTGTTACGTACACTGTGACAAAACCCCAATGGCTGGGTGCGGTTGAGGATAAAGAAATGAAAGAGACCAAACATGAACCAGAAACTTCGAAGATTCTTGAGCCGGATGAATTTGTAGATTATAAAGATCGCAAAAAGGTACTTGGTAATGTTGATGGACCACAGCCTAAGTTGGACGCAGGGATTGAAAATGCTGCCCCTGGCCTGATTATAAGAAAAAGGAAGCAAGCAGAGAAACTTGAAGGCATTGAAAACACAGCTCCTGATCGATCAACCTCTTCCTCTGAGGGAGCTGAACTCATAGCACATGACGCAGTGGCATTGTTACTGAAACATTCAAGGGGATATCATGCAGAAGATGACGAAGGGAAGTATGAAAGCCAAGAATCAGTTGGTGAAAATCAACCTGGTAAGGATCAGAAAAAGCTCAAGAGAGTGCTTGGTCCTGAGAGGCCTTCGTTTATTAACAACAATGTGGACTATGAATCTTGGGTTCCTCCCAAAGGTAAGCTATATCCCTTCTACCTTCTGTCTTTAGTGGATTGTGCAATGGAATTTGGGAAATAATGTCTTCAATGCAATCCAGTAGTAAAATTTCATATTGTGCATGTATTGCTCAATCATGATTTTTGGAACTTTATATTTTCATATAGGACAATCAGGAGATGGCCGAACATCTCTTAACGAACGCTATGGGTATTGAGTTCACGTGAATATTTATGGTCCAGAATTTGAGTCTGTAGCCTTTTGGAGAAAGAAACGGCTTCAAGAGGTCACATGTAACTCAAAGGTGAACTGGAGACATTGCTAAATGTACTTAGGTTCCTTGTGGAAATATGCAGCAGGCCCTTTTGGGCACTCATGGCCAATGGCTAGCTTACATTTGATCAGTTTCTTACTTGAAAAGATAATTTTGTTTGCAGATTCCATTAAGAGGAGAAACAATAGCGAGAATATGGTGACAATCTACTGGAAAAAAGAAATATGACATGCGCTTATTGTACAATAATGTACAGAAATCGAAAAAGGAGGAGAAAGTTGCAATTTTTGCTTGAACTAGTTCTTTTTAGAACCTTTTTTTGGAGTCCACCTGTTAATATATACATATATATAGGTATTTATGTTTATCCTACTGTACACTAAAGGTTGGGTTTCAGTTCGCATATCATATTTTCTTATTTCTCATTCATTTCTATTTAATTACAAACTTGCCGTTGACTGTCGTCCTAAATTTTCTATAAGCTGGAGGTCACTCCCGTTTGCATGTGGTTTTTAAAAACTACATTTCTTATTGGCTTTTAGAAAACACATTCTTCTACGTTTATGGCCTTTGTTTTTGGAATTTTAATCTTTTCTGCCTGTTACTTGCAGAAGAAGATGAAGAAAAAGAAAAAGCCGCAGCCTCTTTTTGGTAATTTCGTCATGCACTCGCGATATATATAATTAAGTAAATAATCGGGAAAAAAAGGGGAGCAAAACGGTGTAGTTTTGAAAATGCAGGATTTCTCATAGGTGATCATTATATATAATAAAAAAGGTCAAAAATATCTTACTGAGTTTCGAATATTTATTTATTTATTTTTTTTAAACTAAGCTCTTACATATTTTTGGTCTATTTTAATAATATATTATCAAATTTTTATCAATTTAACCTTCAGCATTAATGATTATTTTTATCATAACATATTAGTGATGATATAATATATGACGTGACAGAATTGAGAGTTATATTAATAAAAAATTAAAAATATAGAATTAAAATAGATTTTAAAAAAATAGTAGAAAAACTTGGATTAAAAAAAAAATCAAATAATACTGGGGCTCATAGAGTATTGTATCTTTTCTTAATACTTTTTTCATTTTTATTAATTTTAATTGTATAACTAAAAAATAATAAATGGCAAATAAGAGACATTTTTTTTTACAGGGGATTAACACATGCATTAAATTAGATAAAACATTTAAGACAATTTTTTTTATAAAAATTATGTCATTTTTTTTAAGTTTATTGAGATAATCTAACTAAAAAAAATTATTTTTATATAATATTTTTTTTACTTTAATACGTTATATCTCGCTAGAATAGCTGTAATTTCATTAATACAATAATGAGTTAAATGATATATTTTATTAAATTAAACATTATGGATCAAAATAGTTAGAAAATGATGAATTCTTTAGTCTTAATAAGATTTGAGTTAGTGAGTTTTCAATATTTAATTTTTTGTTCTTTTTATTCTCTATTTTTGTTTTCTTAAAGAAATTGTAAATGAAACATAATTAAAAAACAAGGTTATGAGCTACCTCTCTCTCGTTCATCTTAATTACTTGTGTGTGTATTGTTCATATAAAGTCTAGGAAAAAAATTTGATATAGTTTAGAATACCTTTATTAAAATATCTTGTACAAATTTACTTAGGGTAATTTTTTTTTTTTTTTTTTTTTTTTTTATGTATATAAGGTAATTTTAATTATAAAAATTAATTATTTACAAGTAGACCAAAATATCTTATAAAACTATGTATTATTTAATTTTTTTAAATCTAATCATTTATATATATTTTTAGTTATTTTATTTATATTTTTTTATTTTTTCTTATTATATATAATCATTACCGATGAGATGACATTACTGTTCTCGTTATTTTTGTCAAATCTACTTGATCACACATTTGATGGAATTAACTGAATTTGTTTCTTTATGTATAATTTATATAACTATGATGTGTATTCATCTTTTGATTCTTTGGTTCCTTAATTCCTTTTTTCTAGTTACATGAAAAATTAATTATGTAATATTAATTATAAAAATCAATGAGAAGTATGAAAATTTACAAGATGTCTTCCTATTTTCAACAGGAAGTACTAGTGGGGTTGTCCATTGAACTGGCTGTAATGATCTGCTCATTTTCAAGTTATGTACTAAAAAAATTGCATAATAAACAAGAACCTCGAGAACCAATTGAAGGACTTAAGAAAAACCCACCCTACCACATCCACCAAACCAGGTCACGATGCTACCCAAAGAATGAAACATATTTCCATTACAAATGAAACAAATGTACTCTCAATTTGCTCTTAAAAACTGAATTCTCAGTTTGCGGATTGAAATTTAGATTGACAGGTCCAAAATTCTCCATTATTTACCTTGGCAGCATAACAAGAAGCACCAAAAATATCTGCATCATCTGGAAAGGACAAGCATCACATGTCACATGCAAAAGCATAGGGTTTAAGGCACTGTATAATATAAATTGATTAGGATATGGAGTCGATTTCAAGATTTATTATGGTCTTGCACTGAGTTCATTGGGGGATTGTTGGTTCGGTGTCAGCCCCTTGAACTCTCAATTTCCGATTATTCTCTATCTAGCTAGGACTAAGGAGGTTCTAGTAGGGGATTATGCTGATGGAACTATTGTGGGACACTTTGTAATTTACTATTGTGTGCAATCTGAACAATTGGAAGGTTCATTTAGTGACTGCGTTACTGGATTTTTCTAACTCCTGGTAAGCTACTTCCCGATTAGAATGATCAACCAGTGTTAACTTGCACAAAACATGTTTATTTTCTGTGAAATCCTTCTACCACCCTATCATAATCAAGTTGTGGATAGGCTTCCATGGAAGCAAATAGGGAAGAGGAAACCTTCGCCTCGAAGACTGCTGGGGTCAATTCCTGTTATGGATAACTTGATGAATGGTAGAACTTTGTTAATAGGTGCCCAAACAACAATAAACACCTGAGCAATCTACTCCTACGGTCTTTGGAGACCAAAAAGTTGTGGGATTTTGCCCTAAACTTCCACAATGTTAGATGGGTTGTCCTTTGGATTTTATAAAAAGAAATGAATGGAAGAGCTTTTGAGAACATCGGTTCCAAAACCCTTTGTATTTTGCTCAGAGCCCATCTCCCCACTGATGAAGATCTTGGGAACCTCATACTTGTCTTCTTTGTTTCATAATCAAATATCTTCTTTTGAACTTTCTTGTTCTTTTACTATTTTGGAATTATTATTTTTTGTTTATTTTTAGTCTTTTTCTTTTTCTTTAAATTGGAAATCAAATTATTTTTTTCTCTTTTATTTAGTTTTTGCTTTTTCCATCCCTCCATTTTGTAAAATAGATTTTTACACTTTTTTTTTTTATTTTTTATCTTTTAACATTTTTAAAGTATTCTAATTTTATCAATGAAAAATGTTGGTGATCGTTTTACTAAATTTTTTCACAATAAATCTGAAATCATATCGTGACAATTTAAAATATTTAAAATTGATTATTCAATAAATTAAATAAAAATATAAATTACCCATAATATTGTACTGATTTTCACATAGTTTTATAACGTACAGATATCACATTATATAATATTTTATATATAATATGTGTATATGTAGTATGTATAAATACAGTGACAAAATCTTGTAAATGCAATGACCTATTTTAGTTTTCTTTCTATGCTTTTTCACAAAATCTTAAAATCATGGTAATAGCATTTTACAATTAGTGTTCCTATATGTTGCTTAAGATAAATATATATGTCAATCATTTTTTACTGAACAATTAATATCTTATTATTTTTATAAAATATTATAGATTTGAGTTGAATTGTATATTTTTATATGTGCATTTTTACATATGATAGTTAAAAAATTATGTTATAATTGATATAAATTTAAGTTGGTGATTCTTAGTCAGGGAAAATGCAGATAGTTTTGAGGGCATAGCTCTAGCAAAATTGCCGACAACCATTGCTTTGTTAATGATACTGGAGATGATAAAAGTAGAACTATATCTGGAGGATAAGACGACATCTGCAGATACATGCCAAAAGTATGCTGCCATAAAATAAAGAGAAGATTAGTATTTGCCAGTACGCTGCTCATCTTCACCTATTTGCAGGAGACTAAATCAACTATAGTGCTTAAACCTTCTTAAGTAAAAATTTACTTTTAAAAAGATTATTTATTATGTGGGTTGCAAAGAATGCGCAAGTAAAGTAATTTGTAAAAGATCGGAACTTTAAAGAAAATAAATTTAAAATTTAAATACGGAAGCGATTAATCGAGTTAGGGTTTACATTTCTTACATAATAATTTAGAATGCCTAATAGAGTTACAAGAATGTCTTTCCAAAAAGTCAAACGATAGATTTTAAAAAATGACTAACCGGTTTCCAGCTCCATGGATAACTTATAATTATTCTCAAAAATTTTTAAATTACACAAAATATCAAATTACCGATTATTAAGCTTCAATTCCATAACAGGAAATGAAGTAGGAGATTCTTATCCGAATCGATATTCGAAACATCAAACGTTCTACTGCGCCTACTAGTGGTCCCCAAGTTTTCTGAATTTTTATGCGGAGATTAAAACACGCTTCACGTACCTAAAAATATCCTAAAAAATCTAAAATCGGTGTTAAAAATATTTTCTGTCCAATTTTAAAATTCAGCACGACGGCACCGTCATGCTCCGGCGACGACGGTTTACCTTACCCTGGCCATTTTTTGCTGGTTTCGACAAGTTTTATACTCATCCCTGTGAGAAAATACATTAGGGGCCCTCGGTTAGCTGTAAAAAGTTAAAAAAATAAAAACTTACCAGCAGCGAAATTTTTCGGTGCGGCAGCTCTACCGGCTCACCTTCGTGGTTGAGTGTTTTTCTTCGGCCAACCTGTAAAAAGCAGAATGGTGAACACAATGATGAAAAAATTGCACGAAAGGAGAAATAAAAAACGAAAACGGGCGCATCGAAGACAATTTCGGGTTTTGCCTGCAGTAGTGCTCCCAGGCTTGACTTATGATTTTTAGCTCATCCGCCGTTTCTTTTGTTCTGATTTGGCCATGTGGGTATTCAAAATTAAATTTCGAGTGGATAAGAGAATTTTTACCTTTTTTGGAGGTCGAAGGTGGCTCCGATACGGCGGTGAGCAGCTATCGACTCCCTTCTCCAACGGGAGACTAGCAGCTAGGGTTTGAGTTCGGCGTGATTCGACATGTTTATACATGTCTCCCTTAAATCTTGGTCTTTCATCGCATTTGATCTCGACCATCCAATCGCGTTTAAAGATAAAATAAATTTAAACTGTTCATTGTGATTTAATCTCGACCGTACAATCGTGTTTAGAGAAAAAACGAATCTAAACCGTTCATCGCGTTTAATCA